GGCAGAGCATCGAGAATAACTTCAAGAAAAGTTTAAAACGGTTTTACTTCGAATACTCGTATGTAAGTTCGTAATTTATATTATATTTAAAATATTTATTTATATTATAAGCAAATTATAATAACTTCTAACATCTATTTTTAGCTGGTTGGTTCAGCTCCAAATTTTCCACACGGCATTGCTGATTCGTTGGAGCGTATATCTGACGTAAAGTTGGCGCGTCTCTAGAGAAGTTTTTCGGTAGAGATGTTTTGTTTGTAGCTGGGTGCGAAGTACAACATTCCGGTACACGTCGACTGCTGTCTGGGCGGCTTTCTGCTGCCGTTTATGGAAAAAGCCGGTTTTGAGATGGACGAGATGTTCGACTTCCGTCTTCGAGGCGTCACCAGCATCTCGTGCGATACCCACAAGGTAATGAACGATCACGAGTTTGTTTCGACATCGCCTCCCTACTGGAAGTTTCGCAGTACGGCTTCGCACCAAAGGGCACGTCGGTGCTGATTTACCGGCACGAGAAACTTCTTCACCACCAGTTCTTCTGCCAGCCTGATTGGATGGGCGGCATCTACGCGTCGTCTACTTTGGCCGGTAGGCATTTTCGTGTTTATCCGCTCATATTTAACATATTCTTCAAATTCGCTTTGGTATAACATGCCACATACCATCCTTCATACGGAGATACGGTGAGATGAATTTCCAAGCTTCAGCAGCGTTATGACGCCGAATTTTTAAGTGTTGACCCATGAAAGAGAAAGGTGTTACTATCGGTTACCGTCAAATTTTTCCGTACTTCTTGGACATTAATTGTCATTGTTCGTTCAAAGGGTAGACGACATGGCAAAATGCTTTAGTAATGGTTTTTTTGATGGTTTTACGACGGTTGCTGCTCCCTCCATTTCTTGTCTGGGATACTAATCAGGGTGTCATCCTAGACAGAGTTGCCTTAAAATGTACAAAGCATTGTTTCAGCTGCAGCAAATAAAGTCCTGTTAGCTGGTTGTTTCAGGCTTCATGATAATAGCTCTACCTGGCTATCGAGCGTTTAGCTGATAGAATGCACAGTTTTCGTATTTCGCCGTTCCGTGCAACCGCAAAATTTGTTGTTTATCTCTATGAGGACCTCAGTATTGGAATGAAGAGTGCTTCATTTATGCAAGCAGTAGTTATACCGTTTTTTGAGTAAAGCGTGTTAACCCATGCTTCCCCCTTCCTTCTCCTTTTTTTAATTTACCGGCTGATCTATTGTAAACAGCAGTCCAAAGCAAATCAGTGCTTGATTGTTATAGCTGTCAGATTCAACAGTGCCTCACCCGCGCTAGCATACTTAAGATGCATATTAAGCATGACTTACTTTTGTGACACTTTATTCTCTTTGTTGGAAATTAATGATAAAAAGGAACGATGGGTAAAATTGAGACAACGACAGTAAAAGAAATGAAGGTGGGAAGATTGGAAGAAATGAACTGAGCAGTGAAGGAACTAGTAGAACAATCGAAGAATTAACAGTAGACGGAAGGAACGAATGGACGATGTAATGCAAGCTTAAGAATTAGGGATTCAAGAAAGGAATAAATTACATGAAAATAGACGGAGTTCAGAAAAAAGGGGGAAATAGTACTTTGACGACGAGTTAAAAAATTTGGTTTCAACCAGTTAAATGAAATTAATTTAATTTACTATTTTTATGCCAGTGTTTAAGGCAGTCGTTCCGGTGCAAACATCGCTGCTTGCTGGGCTACTATGATGCATTTTGGAATCGAGGGATACGTCGAAACGACAAAGAAGATAATCGATACCACTCGAATGATTGAAAAGCGGTAAGCAGGTGTTTGAAGTTTCTGTCTTTCTTCGCATCTAGCTTCGCATCTTTCAGCTCAGACACACAAGAAAGTAATAGTAACGTAAGGAATTTCTTAATTCCGCTCATGGAATCACCGAAATAAGCGGACAGCTTTTTACTGCGGCCTAGATTTTAACGTGCTGAACACATCTTAGCCTTCAGGTTTTATATCTGCTGCTGGCGTTTGCACGAATCAATTAACTAATCAAGCAGACTTTTCGATTTTCGTTCAGCTATTATCATACGTTGGAGCCGCGACTAACACTGATAAAATCCGCAGAGGAATCTTGCAATAAAACGCGCCAATGCAAAACCATTGGCCCATAAACTGATAGCACGTAGTGGTTGTACGGTTTCGAAATACTGGTTAAGGAACTCGTGCAACTGATCCTTAATGCATGCCTGCATTAGGTCACTGATATTCTCTCAAGCAGCAGGCACTTCCTCTCTGTCTGTGCCTAACATATCTTGACATCCCGGTAGGAAATGGAAAATGGTAAACGTAAATGTTTAAACAGCTGCGTAATCTGCGTGCTGCTTGACATGTACTTATGTGTTACATGTTTTGGAGAGATATATTCATGTTGCCTTTATTAAAGTATTCAAAAAGTTACATTAAGGTGGTTATTTTTACATATTTACTTACAGAACAGGGCATTGATCCCTTTGCATGATCATTCTAAAGGAAGCGAACTCTAGCTGTTTCACAAACACCATACCATTTGACACCTTACAGATCTCGTAGAGAAGGCCTTAAAACAATTAGGCACCATATCCTCTATTCACTGACTGTCTGTTTGGAAATTATGTTCCGGTAGATGAATTGAAAGGGTGGGATTAACATGAATAACAGCTTAGCCACCTAAGGTTCGCTGATGACGTGGTGCTGTTTGCAAAGAATGTCAGTAAGCTATAAGGCAAAAACTCCAGGGAAGCAGTGCAGAAATAGGACTGCGAATCATTCTGTTAAAAACAAAGATACCGCGATCAGATGCACTGCTGAATATGAAACGGCGCCCACATCGGAGTCGATAAATTCGGAGATTTAATGCAGAAAGAAGTCCGGTTGGCATGCGTTCCATTTCAGAGAAGTCCTCTTAGGCAACGTCAGCAAAATACTTGCTTCTACTTGCTTTTCAATTCTACTTTCCTGCCGTCAATGTTTTATGTCTGTGAGACGTGGTCACTCACTAAAGCCAAGGGGCACCAAATTTCTGTCACCAAGAAAGACGTGGAATGCCATGAATTTCCTGTCGCGGTCACATGCTAATATGGTGATCAGATGGCAGACGATAGTGTAAGATGTCATCGTCGAAAGCAACAGAAAGGTAGAAGTTACAATGAGCCGTGCTCGTAGATCTGCTCCCTGACTTAAAATGCTTGACGATAATTGTTTATCTGTATCGTCGCGGTCAGACTAGGTCGGTTTGTCGCCCACTGCGACTTTGAGATAATTATATCAGGAGCCGGGAAGGCTGGAGTTGCAGGGAGAAAGTTCGAAACAGTCGGTCCAGGTGATTTCTACGCATCAATATATGCCTGTACAGGTACGTCGGCGTGTTGTTGTGTTTGACAGTTAAGGTCAAGTGTAGCTTGAATTCAATGCAGTAGCCGCTGCATTGAATCTGCTTTCCTGAATTTATATATGCGAGTGCATATGTTGTATATCTATTGTCTGTTCTTGGTATTGCTGTTTAATTCTAAACGAAGCTTTAACATAACGGCTCCTCATCAGATTAATTACCTTTCCTTTACATAACAGTGATCCATGACTGTTTCATCAAATTTTATTGATTACTGTTTCATTTTGTTTGCTACTTGTAATAATTGTAAACTGATGGTGAAATGTGCACTTGTTTTTTACCTGATTACATACTGCAGTCGTCAGTCAGAATCTAATACCGTATTCTATTGCTGTTATTGCAAAACAGTCTGCAAGTACAGTTCTTCCAAATCAATATAAACTGCGCGATGCCATCCCGAGCTCGTAGACGCGTTAGTTACTGTAAAAACATACGCCTACGGCTTTAATAATTTAGCATACGGACTGCAAGGTTGCATCCAGCATCGTTTAATCGGTCAGAACAACTGATCAACGGCATGAACTAAATTGAGACAGGCAAATTTTTTAGACTGAGAGCGATTCAGGGAATACACGTCATCGGCAGTCCGAAGCTGAGCGTGTTGGCTTTTACGTCGTCGTTGTTCAACATATACGCATTATCCTCTCGAATGAGCAAACGAGGATGGAGTCTCACAATCCTGCAGAGTCCACCTGCGTTAGTACTTTTGTTGTTTCTTATCGCAGAATAACATTTATGAGTATGGCGTTTTGTTTAAAGGGTTCATTTATGTGTGACAATGAATCATACGAGAGCGAATGTTGCTGAAGAGTTCTTAAGCGACATCGAGCAGGTGGCTACCGAACTTGTCGAAAAACCTGACAACACCGTTGAAGGAACGGTAAAAGTGTTATTTTTTCTCTCTCAAGATAAGTAATTAATTTTTTGTTTAAAGTTATTCATATCCTTTTAGTATCAGTCTTGGCTTACATGAATAGAAATTGTTTAAAATTTGTTTGGAAAGTCGATGCTAATACAATTGAAAGCGAATATGTGCTACTTCACCTGAATATCAAGAAACTATACGGGGACAGTAAGCTCTCACATGCTGTGAGCGGTAGCTTAGTATCCAGTATGCATCTAATGGTCTCTGTAATTTTTCTGTGCGACGTCACCGCTTATGATCTTTTGAACAGAACGAGCTGTATTATAATTTCAGCATTATTCAAAATGGATTATGCCATAGCAGCATAAATCTAGCTTCGTGACCTGATTAAATAACTACCTTCAGGAATTGATAATGCCCACCATGTCGGTGTTCTTTTCGTTCGTACTTCTTCAAAGAATTGTTTTTCATGTATTAATAATGCATGAATTGTGTAACTCATTTGTCGCTTTAAACCATGCTTACTTTCACAGAAAATTTGCAAGAAAATTACTTTGGTAAGTTTAGAAAATTACCAGTTAGCGTTGGGTGTAAAATCAAACAACCTAGGACCTTGTTTTCGCTTGCTTTTGTAAGTCTTCTGCATCACCCTCATCAGCATCATGGGGCGTAATCTGTCAGGAGTAATTGCGTCAACCAGAAGAATGTTTTCAGGCCACAGCGTTGGCAGACTCGTCTGTTAAGGGAGTTTAGACCATTTTCACCCTTGTTTTGCTGGGTTCGAGTGTTCCTCCGACGACCCATGGGGAAACAGACGACCTTTGTCCCACAGAGAACACTAGGGAATGATTCACGGGGGTGAAACTGCTCATTCTCGTGACGTTACATAAAGTCAGATTCCTTTGGATGATCGTATCATATCATCGATGATGACAGATGAGTTTGCAGATTACAGATAAAGTCATACCTCTTGATACGTTTTCTCAGCAGAATGACAGTAACGGTCCGCAAACGGTAGTGGGAAGCAAGTTACGTATTATGTGTGTAATTATTTTAAGATTGGAAGTAAGCTCGATTAATGTAGTTGTCATAGTTAACTTCAGACCTGCAGCTTAAGTGAATTAATGACTTGTAGAAATAGTTAATTTTAAGGTTGTTTAATTGTCGTAAACGTATGTAACACTAGCGTTACTGCTGTTTATTTTCTGTAACCTCAGGATTAACTTTTCTACCAACGCGGTGCTTAAAAATCTGTTTCTTCAGTGAATGCCGCTAGGCCTTCATTAGCATGCTTACTAATTTAGCATTTAGTTAATTATCATTATTCCGGTGTAGATTTTAGCGCAGTTCACACCAACGGTGAAATATTTTTGAATCGATAAACATGAAATGAGCTTTTTTAGCATGGGTTCGACTCCAGATTCTGTGCATTTTAAGTTGCATAGGAGTTAATTGCACCTGCTATTTGAAAGGTTAATTTTGTTCATTCTAGCAACGACGAATGACTTTCGATTTATACTAGCTTGCTTCGCTCTAAGTGTCTCAATAGGTTAATCGAAGGGGGTCATCACCAGTTACTCTTTGAAGCGGTCAGATTTTTTACAGTGATGCTATAGTACGCAATCGTAAGGTGTATTGAAAACGTTTACATACAGTTTATGATCGCGAAGGATGAAGCGAAACAATCATGGCTATTTTTGTTGTTTGTCATTGTTATCTGGATAGTGGCAGTTTAACAGTCCTGTCCACCTGTCCCAGATTAATAATGTCTGACTTACAGGAATAAGTTCCTCAGATTACTTTAAACATAACCTCGTTGACAATGGACATATTCATTGTTGCGAGCAGATCAGCTTCTAATATGTTTTGCCTTTGCCAGTTTTTAAACTGTCCCCCTTTCTTTTTTCATTCATGCATCCATCGCTTTCTGTTTTTCGTACTGGTCATCGTAAACATTTGTTTAGGCGTCTATTTACGGCATGACCAAAACTATACCGGATAAAAGCCTTGTAAGCGATGTGGCCTATGCGTATTTGGATGCGTGCTACGCAACTCGAAAGGTCAGCATAATGAGCGATATAGCCGAGTGACAAGTACCTCTTGAATGATCCTCGATGACGTTTCGCCTGACGTGTTGTTGCGTCCTTGTCGCTTTTCTTATTATGGTTGTTTTAGTTGTCTCTGGCAGGTATGACAGTGCTGAAGACTGCGTTAGTTTGCATTACTTTGCGTTCGTTTTAATGTTTTCAGTATGGAAATAAAACATTCAGCTTGCTGAAGTTTTAAACCAACGATTTGGTTCGATGTCATATTCTTGTTGTTTTGTCATTGTCATCATTTGAGGTCAACTCAGATA